ATCTTATCCGAAACCTTCTCAGCCGATTCCGAATCTCCTATCCTACAAAATCCATCAACGATAGTATTATAGCTAGCTGCATTTGGCTTCAACCCTTTTGACACCATCTCATCTAACAACTTCTTAGCTCTAGCACATTCTTTGCTCTTGCTTAAGCTCGAAATTCTATGATTATAAGTAGTCAAATTGCCTTCAATACCTTTCTTTAAAACTTCTTTCATAACCCCATCAAATCCACTTTGATCCCCATTCTTCAAGTAAGCTCCTAGCAGTATGTTATAAGTATCAATATTTGGACTCACACCCATTTTCTCAACCCATTCCCGTGCTGATTCTATCTTATTTTCTTTCACAAACGCTTTCAGCACCAAGTTATGTGACACTACCGTTGGCTTAACGCCGAGCTTTGCGGGAAGAGTGTTGAAACAATCGTGTAATTGCTCAAACATCCCATTATTAAGATAAACCGTAAGAATAGCACAAAGGGATTTTTCAGTTACATTTGAATACCTTTTCTGAGACAATTCGTCGAGCGTTTGGAGTGCTTGTTCGACCATCCCTGCATTAGAGTAAAGCATGATGAGACGAATCCAAAAGCCTTCGGATTTGAGGGCGGGGGTGCTCTGCGAATTGAGCTTTTGGGTCTCGAGGAGGCGGTCGACGAGGTCGAGGCGGTTGGCGTGAGCTAGCTTGCGGATGGAGAGGTGGTAGATGGGGCGGTGGCGGAGGAAAGTCGGCAAATGGGAACATTGTTGGAAAATTTCTGCTAATTTTCAGGGTTCTTTTCGGATATAATGGCTGATTTTGCAGCTTTGAAAGAAGGAAATGGCGGGTTTTGTTTAACAGTATGAGTAGAGAAGAATGATTTGGGGATTGCTAATGTTGAGTTCCTGAAGATGGAAGACATAGCTGTTTCTGATGTTAAAAAATGAAGCTTGAAAAATATGGGAGAGGGGTTTGGGTTTTAGTATCTGTCATATAAAATGTAAGTGAAATTTCTAGGGTAAATTAAACGTTTAGTATTTAAATTATTAATTTTGATTTATTCTAGTACCTAAAGTTTTAACTTTTTTCATAATCATACATAAGGTTAGTTTCTATATAATTTTAATACCTATTCAAAATTTAACGTCAAGTTTCGAAAGAAAATTAAAGTTTATATGCTAAAACAGAGTAAAATTGATAATTTAGGTACTAAACAAGTTGAGATTTTAACGGTGGATACTAAAATTAAATAAAAATTAAACGTTAAGTATGATTATGAAAAAGTTAAAAGTTTAGGTACTAAAATTGATTAAAATTAATAATTTAAATACTAAATACTTAGTTTATTCAAATTTCTCAAACAATTCAAAAACTAAGGGAATATTATTGGTTATTTTGTCCACCAGGGCAAATAATTTTATTAATTAGTCCAATATAACATATAAAAATTTATTTTAGGATCTACAGCATTTTATACAATATTTAAGAAACTCATCAAGTCGAGATAATGAATTTGTCCAAATAATATTTTTTATTCAAACTCTTCACGTCAAGGTGATAAGTTATAATAAAATAAATTTTTTATTAAATTTTGTCACATCTTAGATAAAAATTTTGAATAAAAAATATTTTTTTATTAAAATTCCGTCCATTGCGGTCAACAAAGGTGCGATCGTGGTCGATAACAGCTCAGCATTTCCAATGGTCGATGGGGTGCCTTTAGTTTTTCCTGAAGTGAATCCGGAAGCAATGAGTGGGATTAAAGTTGGGATGAAAAAGGGTGTTTTGATAGCGAACCCGATTTGTTCTACGATTATCTGCTTACTGGCTGCCACCCCTCTTCATCGCCATGCTAAGGTATTAGATAAAGTTTCCATTTTTGTTCTACAATCATTTGCTTAGTGGTTCATAGATATTTATGCATTTTGATCGAAATAGAATTTGGTTTCGCATTGTTTGATTGTTGCTGCCTTTTGGGTCTTTGTTAAATTAGATGGATGATTATTGTGTTTGTAAAAGGACAATCTAAGGTAAACTAGGCAAGAATTTAAATGAAGTAAGATGACTAAGTGATTGCTTGAAGCTAGTAGGCAGTGGATAGTTGCAGTTTAAATTAGTGTGATGTAATGATTTGAGTGGTTTTAATTTTATAGTGGATTGATTTTCATGTGATATCCAGAAAAAAAAATTAGTGTAGGATATCGATTGTTCTTGTTCGAAGCTTTTGTTGGTTAAGTTGTAACTATACTGCATTAAGCAGCTTAAGACATTTGATTCTTTCCTGTGGTGTGTTGCAGGTGACACGAATGGTGGTTAGTACATATCAGGCAGCTAGTGGTGCCGGTGCTGCTGCCATGCACGAGCTCGAGCTTCAAACCCGTGAGGTTGTTTGATTAAGCTACGTTTTTTCTTTTTGTTTTGGTATTATTGTTTACTTTTTATGGTATTTCCTTCTAAATCGATTCCTTGCTGCATTTTACTACAGGTCCTGGAAGGGAAACCGCCAACTTGTAACATCTTTAAGCAGCAAGTATGTATAGTTTGTTCGACGGTATCGAGCAATTTGTGAATATGTTTGGATCTCTCCAGGTTTCTTACGATTACTTCTTTTGCTTTTGCAGTATGCTTTTAATTTGTTCTCACATAATGCCCCTGTTCTTGAGAATGGATATAATGAAGAGGTAATGAAAATGGTGGAAGAGACCAGGATTAAGTAACTAGAGTGTTGGATCATGGATGTATAAAGTTCTATAATGCCTTTTTCATTTGAATTTTCCATTGAGAAGGAAAAACCATGTAATGTCATCATGTGTTTTCTTGTTTGTTCGCCCCTCCCGTTTTTCTCAGAATGACAATAATGTTAAAGTCAGTGCTACATGCATACGAGTCCCGGTGATGCGTGCACACGCTGAGAGCGTGAATCTTCGGCCTGAGAAGCCCCTTGACGAGGTAATATCTTGTTTATATATAAAGATACGATTTTATCTTCGATATATGAAGTAAAAGTGAAGAAAGCTGCAAGCATTTGACGTTTTTTTAACCATTATTGCTTGCATATACATACGCTGCATTCTTCGTTAAATTTATGAGCAATTTTTACGAGAAGTAGGACTCTGATTCATATCATCCCTATACTGCTGATCATGGTGGTCTATGCTGGAGAGCAACAAGCATGCTGCAACACTAACAAGAGCATCATTATTTGAAATCTGAAACCAGAAATGGGAATTTTCCTGGTTTTAGAACAATGTCAATGTCAATGCCGTTGTTGATATGTTGATAACTTGATATACCTTTTCCAAACTTGGACTCTTCGTTTGGTAAATTCTTTGTTGATCAGGCTACAGCAAGAGAGATCTTGAAAAATGCTCCCGGGGTCGTAGTTATCGATGACCGGAGTGCTAACCACTTCCCCACACCGTTGGAGGTATCAAACGAAGACGATGATGCAGTTGGCAGATTTCGCAAAGATTTGTCTCAAGAAGGAAATCATGGGTAAATTTTCTCCTTTCCTACTTTTTCTTTGTCCTTGCAGAGAATTTTCACGCTAACACGAAGTCTTAAAACAGGTTGGACATCTTTGTTTGCGGTGACCGAGTACGTAAGGGAGCTGCACTTAACGCCGTTCAGATCGCCGAGTTGCTGTTATGATTTTCTTGTGACCTCGCCCGGGTACATCCGTTCAGGCACTTTGTGACATGAAAAAATTATATACGAACGCATATAAGATATTTAAATTTAATCCGAGATCTAAAACATAAAAGATCTGCACAATATAACAGATAATAATCATATTGATCAGCCGTGACGAAGTCAAATTAATTCTTAGAAAAAATAAATAAGTGAAAAAACAATCAAACAATCGAAAAACACGTGAAGAGGCCAGAACGAGAAAAAAAAGAGAAAAATAGATGTTATCCTTTAGGGTGTGATTGGTTGGGGAATCTCACATCCCCTCGTTTGGTTGGCCAAGAATGTCATTCTCGAGAATCTTACATTGTCAATAGTAAAATTTTTGGGGTATATTACTGGGAATATCATTACCTCTCTTTCCTTATGTATTGTTAGATTACCGGCGTTTTGGACTAAAATGTCCTTAATTTTTTTTTTCAAAAATATCCTTATTCTATCATTTAATAATAAAAATTTTATGAAGGTTAAATTACAAATTTATCCTTAAACTATTTTAGATTTATAAAAAAAATCTATAATTAAAATTTTATATAAAGTTTAGGGGTTAAAATAAAATTTTACCCTTTCGTTAAATCTTTTTATATTTTTAATTTAAAAAAAATTATATAAATTTAAATTTTTTAAAGAAAATATATAAATATTTTTGAATTTGTTAAAAAAACAAATATATAATAAGGACAATTTTGTCAAATATATATTCTAATAATCTTTTATTTCTTTAACCAAACACGGTAATCTTATATTCATGCTAAACCAACCAAACACAAAATATAATATTCTCAGTAATTTTATTCTATGGTAATTTTTTATTCCCACTAATAATCTTACATTCCGTGAACCAAACGCACCCTAAATAACAAATAAAATCACCTTGAAAATCGAATCATAATAATTTGATTTAGCAACATTCATCTTCAAATTATTTGTCGATTTTCTTTTACGTGTTTAAGAAAAAAAAATAGATAACGAAATAATTTTTAGAAGTTTAAAGGATAATTTTTTTCAAAAATAAAAGAATTCGATAAATAAAATATACTTTTAAAGGATAAATATTCCTTCAAGCCTCGTTATTATTGTCATCTTCATCACCATCGTTGGAGATAATGCCAAAACGGCGATAGAATTTTTTACTAAGATTGACCACAGCTAATCCCACAGACTCCTTCGTTACCAAGTTTCAGAAAAGCTAGGCCGTGCTGGCAACGCAAACTCCGCGAAACTTTTCCATGTGTCGAAGACCCATTGGTTGTCACCTCCGAGAAAAGCAAAGGAAATTACAAATGTATGACATAATGTTGAAAAATCACGCCCTTTGTCTTCGTCACTTGGTCTTCCTTCCATTGCTATTTATAACCAGATATATTGACTAAAAGAGTTGACGATCAATGGAGTTTGGAGTCTTTATTTACTCTCCCAGTGATCAATGGAGTTTGGGTTTATTTATGTTATCTGATCTCTCTTCTTCTTCTCTCTGGTAATAGATCTTTCTTTGTTTTCGTAATAATGGTGTGGAATTGAATGTTGTTAAAAAAAAATGTAAACTTTGGATAACATAGGCCATTTCCAGTAACAAACATAGAATTTTTGTTGCTTCTTTTGCTTTTTATCTATGAAAGTTTGATTGTTGGTGCATTTTACAGTATAAATTATGTACTGGTATCTGTTTTTTGCAGTTAATTGTATGTTTTAGAGTGGTAAGAGCTTAGAGTGAACTGAGACTATGGGTAAGAGCAGGACAATTCAAGTTTCTGGGTTTCTTTCAGACGTGTCCGTGGAAGAAGTGAGGAAATTTTTGGAGAGATATACAGGCAAAAAAACTGTTTATGCCCTTAAGATAAGGCAGCAAAAGAAGGGTGGGAGAGCATATGCTGTTGTGCAATTTACCAAACGTGCTGATGCGAAACTGATCGTAAGGTTGGCTAATCAGAGGCTATACTATGGGACTTCGTATCTTAAGGCTTGGGAAATGGAGACCGATATCGTGCCGAAGCCGAGAACGTTTTTGCACACGATGGAACATGTCAAAGTGAAGTTTGGCTGTCAGGTCTCGAAAGAAAAAGTTTATGTTCTCTGGAGAGCGGATGATGTTACAGTGAATTTTGGTCTAGCAATGAGGAAATTGCAATTTCTGTTGTCGCATGGTCGCTTGCCATACAAGCTTGAGCTTTTCTATGAGAACATCTGGCAGATTGAGCTGCATCATGCGTGCAATCAAACCTCAAGTTATCTTCTGATTCAGGTTGCTACTGAAGTTTGAATATGAATTCATCACTGTCGTTTCCATTGAATTGCATAACTGTTGATCTAGATCAGTAGAACATTTTGGTAATTGTAAACTGATAAATTGTGCAAATCAATATATATATATATATATATATATATATATATATGTTCTTAGAGGAGTTACCGAGCAGCCTGGATTATACTTTTAAGTCTCCGGTATCCGATTTATTAATTGACCTTGCTTGATAGATGGATTACTGTTGTCTTATGAAACTTGGCTTATGCAAGGTCCTTGATGGGCTATTCAGAGCCAAACCTTTCATTGCAAGAAATTCGAGCTGTTTTATTGACGCTTTCCTTTTAATTTTCAGTTATTTGGTGCTCCACGGATATATGAGAAAGAAGTGCGCTATTCAGGACGTGTGTTTGATGATCCCTTGCTTAACTACTTCATGGATGTGCCTGATGATCAATGGGTGAGGACAACTGATTTCACGCCATCGTACTGTATCGGGCAGTCTTCTGTGTTATGTTTGGAGCTTCCTCGCAACCTCCAACTTCCAAATTTTCAGGAAAACTTCGCTTATTACAAAGAAAACGATGGCAGATTGGTTTTCGAAAGTGGTTCTTCTTATTCCTGTAACCGTACTCTTGTCCCAATTGTACACCCTATGCAGGGAGTTGACTTGCCATTTGAAATACTGTTCAAGGTTAATTTGTTGGTGCAAAATGGGTGCATACCAGGACCAGCTCTTGATGATAATTTTTATCGATTGGTTGATGCTTCGAGAATTGACAAAGTTTACATAGACCATGCATTGGAGAAACTTAATCATCTAAAAGAATGCTGCTATGAGCCTTCGAGGTGGCTCTTTAAGGAGTACAAAGTTTACACCAGTTCTAAGAAACATCCGGTATCGCCTGCTATATCATTAGATGCTGGCTTGGTGTATGTAAGAAGGGTTCAGATAACACCTTCTAGAGTCTACTTTTGTGGTCCTGAGATTAATGTTTCTAATCGCGTGCTACGCCAATTCCGTAGCGATATGATAATTTTCTTCGCGTCACTTTTGTTGATGAAGAGTTGGAGAAGATCCATTCAACAAACGTGCAAGCAAAGGATAGGAGAACTGATATATATGAAAGGATTCTTTCTACTCTTCAAAATGGGATAATTGTTGGGGACAAGAGATTTGAATTTCTTGCCTTTCATCGAGTCAATTGCGCGAAAATTCTGCCTGGATGTTTGCTTCGAGAAAGGGGCTCACTGCTGCTGATATAAGGTCATGGATGGGAGATTTTAGTGAAATAAGAAATGTGGCAAAATATGCTGCTAGACTGGGCCAATCTTTCAGTTCATCGACCGAAACCCTTAGCGTTGCGAAAGATGAAATCATCCCTATTGCAGATATAGAAATCGTGAAGGGTGGAAATAAATGTCTTTTCTGATGGAATTGGAAAATATCAGCTGAATTTGCTAAGAAGGTGGCCGCTAAATGCCGCTTGAATGGTCACACTCCATCGGCCTTTCAGATTCGGATTGGCGGATTCAAAGGTGTTGTGGCTGTTGACCCCACCTCATATTGGAAGTTATCCCTCAGAAAGAGTATGAAAAAGTATGAATCAGAGAACACAAAACTCGATGTTTTGGCTTGGAGTAAGTATCAGCCATGTTTTCTGAACCGCCAGTTGATTACGCTGCTGTCTACTCTCGGAGTTCCAGATCGTGCTTTTGAGATAAAACAAAGAGAAGTAATAGATCAACTCAATGCCCTCCTGACAGAACCCTTAAAGGCTCAGGAGGCTTTGGAGTTAATGTCTCCAGGAGAAAATACCAACATCCTCAAGGAAATGCTCCTGTGTGATTATAAGCCCGATGAAGAACCATTCCTTTCCATGATGTTGCAAACATTTCGTGCGTCAAAGTTATTGGAGTTGCGGACTAAAGCCAGGATATCCTTCAAAATGGAAGGTCCATGATGGGATGTCTAGACGAAACTGGAACATTGAATTATGGCCAAGTGTTTGTGCAGTTTTCTGGCTCTAGATCCAATAGGCGTTTTATTGTTAACAGTAAGGTAGTAGTTGCAAAAAACCCCTGTTTGCACCCTGGGGACGTGCGTGTCTTAAGGGCTATCGACGTTCCAGATTTGCACCATATGGTGGATTGTGTTGTTTTTCCTCAGAAAGGAAGCAGGTACATCAAGGGCATACTCTACATTCTCGTATACTGTGAGAAAGGGGTCGTTTTTCGTTATAGTTTGCAGAAACTCTATATCTAGATGAACTTGTTTTATGTGCACCGTAGCCTACTTCGTTTGTCATCACGTTTTTGCCAAATAACCACATTTTTCTTACATTCAGGATGCATGTGTGCATTAGCATCTAATGCTGAGTATAGTTTTAGGCAAATAACTTGTTTTATGTGCACCTTAGTCTGTTATATGCTAACCGGAAAACGACTTCTATAAAAATTATGGTTTTGTTCAAGCACATTCATCTAGTTCATGAATACATTTTTGTTGAGGAGAGGGTATTACTGAATTACAAATTTGCTATACCTGTATTCTTTTGTATGTTGGAGTTAAATCCTCCACAATTTATGGAAGCTCTCTGTATTTTCAATGTATTTGCACATACTAACAAGATGGTCATAGCGATTTGACTGAAAATCGAATAAAATTTTTAGACCTCATCCGAATGAATGCTCCGGAAGTGATCTGGATGGTGATATCTACTTTGTCTGTTGGGACCCTGATTTGATTCCATCTAAGCAAATCGAGCCGATGGATTACTCACAAGCTCCGAGTGCTACATTGGATCATGAAGTAACCATTGAGGTATTATTCTTCTTGGTATTCAAGTATTCAGTCATGCTGTCATCATTCTTCGAAATCTTACAAGTTCATGCTGTCATCCATATAATGATCTATGCATGGCACCCGGTATGTCAGCTAACGACATTCATTCATTTAACGTTGCGTGTTGGATCCTGCATTAGCCAATCGGATTCTGAAGTAACAAATTGTGAATGACTTCAGAGTTCCAAGGCCCTAAATCAGAGAAGTTTGTTCTTTGGTGCAAGTTTATCTGGTTTTGTACCATGCAATCTGTTCTTGTTGGTTGTTTCTGTTTTTGAACTGATTCCGATATTTTGGTTTATTTTGAGATTATTATTGATAATCGCTGCGTAATGTTTCGGTGCAGGAAATCGAAGAATATTTCACAAACTACATAGTCAATGACAGTTTAGGAATCATTTCGAATGCTCATACTGTTTTCGCCGATAGAGAACTTGGCAAAGCAATGAGCCGCCCGTGTCTGGATCTTGCAAAGCTGTTCTCGATCGCAGTTGACTTTCCGAAAACAGGGGTACCAGCTGAAATACCACAAGAATTGAGGGTCAAAGAATATCCGGATTTCATGGAGAAGCCTGACAAACCAAGTTATCAATCACACAGTGTTATCGGAAAACTTTTCCGAGAGGTGAGAAGCCTTGCACCTAATGAATGCTCGATCAATTCCTTAACTCGGGAGAAAATGGAGAGGTTTTATGATCCCCACATGGAAGTTGATGGCTTCGAGGATTACATTGATGATGCTTTCTTCCACAAAAGTAATTATGATTACAAACTGGGGAATTTGATGGACTATTACGGGATCAAAACAGAGGCCGAAATACTCGGTGGAGGTATCATGAAAATGTCGAGGTCTTTCACGAAGAAAAGAGATGCGGAAGCCATCGGTATGGCCGTGAGGTCATTGAGGAAGGAAGCCAGGTCATGGTTTAACGAAAAGCGAAGCAGATCGGATGATGAAATAACGATGCATATGCAAAGGCCTCAGCTTGGTACTATGTCACGTATCATCCAAGTTATTGGGGTCAGTATAACGAGGGAATGAATAGGGATCATTTTCTGAGCTTTGCTTGGTGTGTTTATGATAAGCTGATCCAAACCAAGCGAGAGAATGCGGCTATTCGGAGAGCTTTCGAGTCGTCATCACTGGAACACCGGTTCCGACGCCAATTGCATTTGCAATGAGGTATTTCGGCGAATGTTTCCTGTTTTCTTAAGTATGTGAATCTGGGTAGATTATGTTCCCTAATGAAACTGCATTTTACGTTTTGTAAATATCCAGTAGTACTGATTGAGAAAGAACATTGAGTAATATGTTACCTTATGAATCTACATGTTCCCTGTTAATAGCTGAAGCCCTTCCCTGTAACATGATTCCGATTCCGGAGAAATCTCTAATAATTTTATGACAAGTTGATTGAACAATTCACCGATAACCTCGCCGGAAAAACGTGTGCTCGACATTCCCTCCATTACAGCCCTTAATTGTTTCACAAACACAGGGTTGTCAATAGGACCTTTTAGCCATGGTGCAGGGTTCATTAATTCTAGGGTAATCTACCCATTTAGTACATAAACTATCAGGTCCATTTTATTATTTAAACTTTCAACTTTTTTCAAAATCATATTTAACATTTAGTTTTCATTTCATTTTAGTAGCCGTTAAAAACTTAACGTGTTTAGTACCTAAACTATGAGTTTTGATCCGTTTTAATACCTAAACTTTCAATTATTTCAAAACTTAACATTAAATTTTGAACAAGTACTAAAACGAAACCAAAATCAACTTTTGATATGGTTTTGAAAAAAAAAATGGTATTAAAATAAATCAAAACTAATAGGTTAAGTAATAAACATGTAATTTACCCATAAATCACTATAACAAAATAGGTTTTTAACGGCGTTTTTCAGTCATATAGCGACGTTTTTAAACATCGCTAAAATCTATTGTGGCGTACGTCGCAAAAAGCGCCGCTAAAACACCGTCACTAAGATTATGATATTAGCGGCGTTCCTAAAACGCCGCTAAATATTCTGACATATAGCGACGTTTATTCCTAAAAACGCCGCTAAATGTTAAGTTTTATATTGGTTTTTGAAATAAAACGCCGCTATTGACTAGGTATATAGTGGCGTTTTCTGTATTAACGTCGCAAAAAATCTAAAACTTAGTGGCATTTTTCAAGAACGCTGATATTCATGTTGTTTTCTACTCTTTTGTTATATAAATTTAACCTGTAACATTATCCAATAAAATTGAAATCAATAACAAGAACTTAAAATCCATAATAATAGATTAAATTTTACATTAACATAAAATATAATATAATTCAACATTGTTAACTATAATAAACAATAATAACATCCAAGATAGTGAACTCTAAAGTTGATTTTGTCGTATCATCTGTATCATAACTTGAAGTTGATTTTTAAATATTTCAATTTCATTCCAAGTTATCAATATATACTAATCACATTCCCTATTAATAAAATCAATAACCCAAACTATAATGTTACATGTTTGAAAAAGATAACATATAGGTTAAACCATGACGTAAACCAAGCACATAATAGCTACTCAAGTGCAGTGTCGTTGATGGTTCAAGAAGAGTATAATGAGTTAGAAGGGATACTTTCAAGAAGAATCTATGTCAAAATTGTCGAAAATTATAGTAATTGGTAATTTACAAACCAAATAGCTACCACAAGTGCAGTGTCGTTGAACACACAAAACTACAGAAGTTCCATAGCCGAGAGCTTTGAATATGGATAAATTTACTTGGGATTTCTTAGAACAATAATAACAGAATCTCCCCTAAGGAACATCTTGCTGATGAATCTGTCCTTGTTAACCGGAAGAGCCTTCTTCTTGCCTTTCCCAGTCTTCGGTACCTATATCGAAAGGAGAAACGATTAAACCTTTTTAAATTTGACTGTAATGGAGATTAATGTATATGATGAAGGCATACAAAAGCAGGAAAAGGGAAACTACCTCGGTCCACATTTCCCTGACATTTTCCAACACCATGTTGCAGTGGCGGTCGAATGCTCTCACCCGACCTAGAAGTTTTTTGTTGTTGCGACAGTTGATGAGAACCTGGTTCCATGTATAAATCGTGTTCAGTTCTAAATAAACACGTTGTCATTACCATGTAGATAGCATTGCTTGGGTTCAGAAGATTAGTTCATTACCTGAGTGTTATTTTTGACACTCATCATCAGAACAGATAGTGGTCCGGTGTTAAATTCCTCTTCCTCATTCTTTACAGTCTGCAGGCAGGTTAGCGAGCAATAGGCTGATATCAGCGAACATATATGAAAAATACAATGAAAAAAAGAAGCATTCTTTTGGTTTGAATGAAGGAAACGGCTGTTTAAGTCAACTTACATCTCTTCCATTGGCCGACGGCAAAAGGCAAAGCAAACAAAAGAGAGGATTAGTATGATAAATGAAATGTAAAGCGAACCTTCAAATACTACTGAATGAACAAAAGAAATGAAAGAAGAAAAGGATAAAACAATTAGTACCTCATTTTCAACTACGAAAGTTTTCAGTGCTATCTCTCAACAATCCCAACACAAAACCTGCGAAAAGGAATGGAAATGCCATTGACACCAGAAAATCAAGAAATTCTCAGTACACTTGAGACCATATACCACATGAATATAGACTTATCAAACAGTTGTTGAATATGAAATATGCATAACCAAGCACTACAAAATTGGCCAATGGAAATGACATTATTATAGTTCACTGCAAATTGCACAATGAGCAAAAAGCTAACTAGTATTTGTTAAAACGAAAAAAAAGAATCTAGATTTTCAAAGATTTAAATAATAAAGTGAAAACGAAAACAATCCCACTTTGGTTTTTCTCTTTAGTTTGTTTTCACATGTAAACTATCAAAGCTACTTGAGCTCGAGTGTGAACGAAAGACATGGCTATGTTAAAAGATCATATCTAAATACCCATGTCTGAATACGAATCAAACATGAACGTCAAACTGTGGTATTTAATGGAAATGAAGAGCAGGGCAACATTTAAAACAAAGGTAACAAAATACATAGTTTATTGAACAGTCTTCTGAAACTCTTCAGCTCAGGTCTCCATGAATTTTCAGCAATTACTAGCTCAGGAGAATGAAAGTTTTTTTATAGTAAACATCATCAGAGTGACGGAAGAACTTCAATACCGAATAACAAAAAGATCAATTACAAGCTAAAGTTAGAAACTAAAATGCAAAGCAAATTACTTTTCCAAAACCCTAATTGAACAAAAAAAGCTAATTTACATAAACCTCTTCAGTTCAGGTCTCCAAAAATTTTCCGCATGGATTTTCTCGGAAGAACGAAAGTATTCATTTTCAATCATCCTCAGAGGCATAAATAAACAGAGAAGAAAACAATCAATAAAGTATAGCACATAAAAATACGAAATAAAATAGTGAAAAATAATCTACAACATCTCTTCAGCTCAGGTCTCCGTATAGAATTCCACAAGGATTTTTCTCTCAGAAGAACGAAAGTTTCACAAATTCAAATCATCATCAGAGACATTTTGCGAAATCATTACGAAATTGAAAACCCTAACAGAAAGAAACTAGCCAAGGAGAACAGTGAAGCAATCGAAGTAAAGAGCGGAAATGGAAGAAGAGATTCAAAAACAGATTTACCTGATTAGCGCTTTGGACGATGAGATCTGATTTGAAAAAAGAAGCAGAGTGAAGAGCTGTTTTATAGAGAATCCTTGTACGAGCAAATAAAAACCCATGGGCAATCCAAATTAGGGTTTTTCGGGGTTGGGCTTGAAACTTCTATATAATACCATAATACGAATAAGGGCTTTTGGGCTATAGTTTTTTTAATTTACGGAGTTCAAATTTTTACGTAATTTTTGTGTCACGTAAGACAAAGATATTATAAGTTTATATGCTGTTTTTAAAAATGTTTTTGCAGGTCATATTTAAAGGTGACAAACGGGTCATTTGGATCAAGCTTGGGTCGGATTTTTCGGGTCAGACATTTTGGGTTTAAATTATATTTAGTTTAATTTTTTCGGGTCTGATTTGGATCTAGTTCGGGTATATGATAACTCGGGTCAGGTGATTATCGGATCGGTTGTTTTTCAGTTCAAATCAATTTCGGTTTGGATTACTTTCGGTTCGTATTACTTTTAGTTTTGCTAACTTTTGGAACGGGTATGATTCGGGTCAGACATCATATTAAATTTGATTATCATATTCGAATTAATATTAAATATTCGGTCGGACAAATTGATTCGAGTAATCAAGCTCGGGTAAAGTTTATCAGGCTTAATCTTATTTTTGTTTACATTGTACTAATGTTGTGGAAAGTTAGAATTAAAATGAAACAAAAGAAAAAAAGGATCAGAAATGTGAAAAACATATTATGAAATTTATTTTTAAATGAGTATGATACGCGTCCAAGACACATTTTTATGAGCATGTAATTAGAAGACATTTTTTATGGTATAAAGTTAAAGTTAGTCCTCGATGTTTATTAAAATAGTCATATTAATCTTTATTTTGAAAATTTTTGACCTTTAACATTTTATTTTAAGATAAAAAGACTCTTAAAAATTGTTCAAATAGTCACTTTGATCATTATTATTCTTTTTTAAAACATTTTAGTCATCAATATTTCATTTTAGGGTTAAAACCCTACCTTGTTTAATTGTTTGTCATAAATTTTAATTCAGTAATAATTATTTTTAATAATATATAGATAAAAATATATTCAAGGTTGAAAATTATCAAATTGAGTTTGAAAAATGCTTTATTCCATATATATATATATATATATATATATATATATATAATTTTAAAAAAAAATATTTAAGTGCATAAAAAGGCCATACATTGTTTTGAAATACATGCTTAAAGTGTGACTTTCATTTTAAATTGATCCTAAACTTTTAAATATTTCAATTTCATTTTTAAACTATGACTATCATTTTAAATTAGTCCTCAAACTTTTAAATATTTCAATTCCATCCCTAAACTAGAACCTTCATCCTAAATTAGTCCCCAGACCTTTTGAACATCTCATTTTCATCCCAAGCAATATGTATATACTAATCACATCCCTTGTTAATAAAATCGTTAGGTCAAGTTACATTATTGTATGTCTGAAAAAACAAAGTTATGGTTAAACACTGGTTGAAATTAATTACATATTTGGATGAAATTGGGAATGAAATTGGAATCTTTAAAAGTTTGGGGTCTAATTTAGAAAGAGTGTCATAGTTTAGGGATAAAATTAGAATATTCAAAAGTTTAAGGATTAATTTGAAATGGAAGTTATAGTTTGGGGATGAATTAGAATATTCAAAAGTTTAAATATCAATTTAAAATGAAAGTTATAGTTTGGGGACATACGATGCAATTAACTCCACATTTCCCCTTTTATCTCGTTACTTGCTTGCTTCGCAGGATTCTCCATTTTCACACCATTCCCTTCCCTTTTTGCAGCTCTTTTTGTCTGCCACATTCATATGAACCAGAAGAATACAAAATTAAACAAGATTTTGTTCCCATAATGCAAGAAGAATTTGAATTACGAATCGATCTAAGAAGATAAGGTGTTAAGACCTTTTAAATAAAGATTAGAAGTTCGAACTCTGACGTATCAAATAGAGAAAAATGAGTTGAGTTGGGAGCGTTGCTTTCGTATTAACCCTTATCTGATTTAATCGATCAATTTGTCGAATGTAAGAGAATATATTGCACCGAAAGGAAGACTAAATCATAGGGTAGATACAATAGATCTTTGGAAACATTGCTATTTGCTGCCCGTCAACTTCAATTCAATGCCAATTTTTCTCACATGCTGTACAAAAAAAGAATCATCACCCATTCATGGCACTGTGGGTCTGCCTTCTCAACTAACCCCCAAGGTTCCAAAATGGGGTATAATCTTCAATTCATCGAGGTAAAGGCTGATTTCAAGTACCCTTTGGTGAGTATCTACCGAAAAACATTGATCGTTAACCGACCGGAGCTCTACGAGGAGTGCCTTTCCGTTTCTTATGTTGATTCCTAGGCTTTAAACTCTTGGTCACCGATGTTTTCGTCTCCCCGGAGACATCGGTTGATGAAAGGGATGATTGCTTTTCTTCTGTGCTTATTTCCGGTGAAATTTTATTGTATTTCCATGGAAGATCGGGGAACTCTCGTATCGACAATTCGAGTTTACCGGTTTGGTTTCTAGGCTTTGCATGATCAACAACTGAGACCTGAAATGTGTGCTAGTAGCCTAGTATTAAGGTTTAAAGAAATGTGTTAGAATTCAAGTGTTGAATGGGGTTGAATTTCGCGTACCTTGCATGCAATGGAACAAAATCTATTAGGCGAGTCTGAAGGTATCTCCCGCAAGCTTCACATGCGGCGCCGGTTTTCGATTTCGTCGACGGCTTGGCGTCTTTAGTTTGAGGCCGAGGATTCAAATGCACAGCCTTTGCACCATTGATTTTGTATGTCTGTCAAATGACCACATAAAACAACGATCAATTCCAATTGCTCGTTCATGTATGCACATATCAGTGACAAGTGAATTGCATCGAATTTCATTACAATTAGAATGAAAATTTCAAGAACTAAAAGACCAACGAGAGGCGTTGGGAAATTACCTGAATTTTGGAACAATCAATATGTTTCTGCATTTCTTGAAGGCGAGCAACATCTTGGTAGACATATTTGCAGATCTGAAGTGAAAGATGTTGGCTATGAGCCTCACAATGCCGGCAAAACCCGAGGCTGCAATCGATGCAGAACACGTTCTTCTCGTTTTTTCGAAGGCCTCGATGTTCAGAGCAGGGGCCAAAGAACTCGGTTCGAAGAAGAGTACTTAGCCAATCTGTTTTCTCCTTTATGAACAACTCGCAACCCACCTGCAACAACCGAATTCCGAATCCATTCGAATCAAAAAAAGTTATGAACTTCCAAGCTTGTACATTTACAATTCATTCCAAGATTATAGCTTTGATGATTAGTATGTACTCCAAAGCAATGGAAACATGATAGTAAAGCTAATACAGTTTCTTTTTTAACAAAGTTGCAGTAAATATAGTACTTATTTCTTGTTGTTTATCTAAAAAAAATTCCTGGGAAACGAACAGACCATGACATCCAGATAACAACAATCGTCAAAAGGAAAAGCAAAGTACCCATCGTTCAACACTTCACAAATTGGAAAAAAGAAGCGAAATTTCTCACCATTTTCTTTGCTTTGAATTTTGATGTTATAGAAATTCTTATTTGCTCTGCTCAATACTGTAATGAATACACTTTGCACATTAGAATTTGCAGAGAAAGTCAAGGAAAAATGATTTCTTTAAGGGAAAAGAGAGATAAAGAGAGTGAGAAGAGAAGCCTACAGAATGTGGAAAAGTGATGATATAAGGAATGTGCAGAGAAATATATTAAAAATATAAAATAAATAATAAATAAAAAGGAAATTTTCAGGAAAAAAAGAAATTGTCAACAAATGTTTCCTAAGGAGGTGAAGAGACCTACCCTAGGCGGGAAAGGTTAATAAATCATCCTGATCGGTGATTGGACGGCTATTAATTTTTACAACCATTTTTAAGGTAAAATACATCTTAAGTGCCTACACTTTTGAAAAAAATTAATGTGACCATCGTATTATTTTTTCTCTCAATATTGACCTTCAACTCATAAAATAAACTTAATGTGACCCTTTGACCAATATCATTTTGTCATTGACAGTTACGGTGCTGATGCAACAGTTCATAGTATTGATTTGATGTTCACGGTGTTGACATGCCAATCTAGAATGACAGATTAAAATGACGGATGACATGATAGATTTGGTTAAATTGATAACTCAAACATGATATATAAACTATCATGTCAGCATCGCGGATCGCCAAGTTAGCAACGTGAACTGCCACGCCAATAATGTAACGGTCAAAGACGAAAAATATTGATTAAAGGACCACACTGGATTTATTTTCTAAGTTGAAATACCACATTGAGAGAGAAAATAATATAAGGGCCGCATTGTTTTTTTCTCAAAAGTACAAAACCTTGATGCCTTTTTGCTTTTTTTAAACAAAGAAGTATTTTTTTCTAGTATATCCAGAGGCATTAGGCATTATTTAAAGTCATAAATTTAGTATTATCTGGTGAACGTTTTAAATTATATTTTAAGAAATAATATATTAATATATATATTGATAAATTATTTTATCACACTCTATGACTCTAGTATATTATATTTTTTAAATTTTAGACTATTGATAAATACATGTGTTGATTAACTTCTTATCATTTTAGATTAAATAATATGTTGATAAATATCTACATTAATGAAAAAAAATTATCAATATTTTTTTGAGTAAAATGATGGGTTACTTGTTTGATTGAAAATTTATATGATCATTTTTCAAAAGAAAATTAATTAACTATTACTTTAAGTAAAAAATTAATATTTGAAACAACAAATTACTATTATAAGTACAATATCATTGTTTTAAGTACAAATTACTATTATTTATTTTATTCATTTTATTTATTGGGATATTTATTATAATATTCCACAATCAAATCATCGTTTTAATATCATTTGTGATAATATCATATCATTATTCTCCTCTTAAAAACATATTGAATGTATAATGTCAGAGTGTGATATCGTCATGGATTCGAATGATGTTATAAATAGAATAAATTAAATTATTTATCTTTATAATAGATTTTTGTAATATTAAACCTAAATTAATTAATTAATAAATATATTACCAATAATTATAAAAAAGAAAAATTATAAAAAAAACCTTGTTACTATCAAGTAAAATGCAATAATTTCTTAATGACTTTTCTCTTCCAATTATAAGAAATCATTAAATTTCAATATTTGCAAAAATACAAGTTTGTAAATAAAAATTTAAAAAAAAACCACAAATTAAGCAATAGTGAAATGACAATTTTGGTCCCTTGAAAGAATGAAGATAGTACAAGAAACATGAAGGAATTTGACTTTTAGGAGGACCATAACAAGAAATGAAAAGGGGCTGCCTTTATTGGCAATAGGATTATAGGGTACAAAGAAAAAGGCTCTCCAATTCAAATAAAGGAAAGTTTTCTATATTCTAACTATTATTTTTATTTTATTTTTATCATCTAATTAACTTTTTTGTTTTTTAAATTATACATAACGTTTTAATACTCACACTCCTGACATTTTTAGTGATCGATCCTGGAATCTCAAAAAATAACAACAATTCCTTTATCACTGAGGTTACTCAGTTCATGTATTTATACTTATAATTATTATTAAAAAATAATATTCATCATATATTCAAAAGTAAACATTAATATTGTGGAATAAACTTGTAAGTAGGGATGGGCATGGGTTGGTTGGATTTTCGGTCCACCTTATCTGACTCAAAAATTATAAATCCTTCACCATATCCGAACTGACCTGAATTCGGTTTGATTTTTTTTAGATAAAATCAGAATCCGACCCGATCCGAAATAATAAATTTATTAAAAAAATATTATTTTTATTCAATACAAATAGGGATTTAATTAAAAGAAAATAATATATAGAGGGATATCATTGTATTTATCCCTAAATATATAAGGTAAAATTATAAATTTTTCCGGTCGGGTCGGATTAGATATTTTTCACCTTAAACCCAACCCAACCCGAACACCACATTAAAAATACTCAACTCGATCCAAACTCAATTTAAAAAAAAAAATCTAATCTGATCAGATTGATTCATGTTGAAACCCGTCGAGTTCGGGTACATCAAACTTTCAAGATACTTGTGCGAAAATCATTTTATAGAAAACAAAATCACATGAGCAGAAAAGATGTTAAATTACCTCCAAAGGCTATCTTTTTGTAAAGGATGCTAAATGGTCCTCCTTTTTACTTCTCCTCCATGTCCGAGTGTCATTAAAGTTATATTCTCTTCTTTTATTACAAGTCAACAATAGGTGCAAAATTTGCACAATACTTGGGGCACTGTCCTCTCGGATCGAGTTCAGAAAATGTTAATTTTTTGCTAATTTCGTCTAGATTATGTTTTATTTTAGAGGGAAAATTATGCTTTTTCGTCCCTCTACTTTGACCATGTTCATGTTTTGGTCAATAAACTTATATTTTTCTTAATTTGATAACTCAATTTTCGAATTACTACGTTATTGATCACTCAGACGTTAAATCAAAAACAAAATGATAACATAGTAAGTTTTCTTGACATAGTTGTTTCTTTTATTAATGTAGAAGCCACCTCATTTCTTTTTTCTCTTTTTTTTTTTACAATTCATCATCATCCCAACCATTTTAAAACTTTTGGAGTTTCATTCTTATCTCATGTCGCCATTGACATCGTTATTCTTCAACGTCTTCTTCGATCACTTCAAATATCAATGAAATTATCTCATTATCTCTTACTCTTTTATCAGTTTTCCCCCACCCAAAATAAAACGCGCTATACTTCAGCCTTAAACCCAAAGGAAAATGACTTTGATCTATGAACTATAGTTCGTCTCCTCTTTCTCCAATATTAAGATTTGAAAAAAAGATGCTCTAACACCAAAAAATCAAAAGAAATCCGAAAAGTTAGACTAAAATTTTCACATATTTAAAAGAAAATTTAGGGAATATTTCATAATTTTAAAAAAGATAGATACCTAGTCATAACACCTTTAAATAATTAACGACGGGTCGACAAAAAATTATAACAACACCTAAATTAAGCGATTAAATTTAAATTTAATAAAATTCAGTGACAAAAATAAAAATATGGTCAAATTGGGACCATGCGTTACTTCCACGAAGACAGTGTTGTCAAATCCACTGCCATAACCATTGCAAACACCTGGCTAATAGTATATGGTCTCTGTCATAATAATTTGTACTTCGTAAATTCTTAGGTCCACTTGAAAGATATGATTCCGACCACCCTTCCAAATCAACAGACTTATAGCCATTGCAAGATTATAAACATTATTATGGAACGAAAATTATGATATAAATACATAAATTTTATAAAATGGCATATAATATGAGAGTGATGTAGGGAAGGAATGCACTTGGAGACTAAGGAGGGATAGAAGTAGTTAGACCTTTGTACGAAGAGCTATACCTCTCTCGAGCCATCATTTTCTCTACAATTTTTTTTTTGGGGGGGGGGGAACCGAAGAGCCTTGTACATGTAATCCCCAGTATCGACTAGACAACATGCTCTTTCGGACTTGGTTGCCGTATCTCACGTCTATGTTCCATCCGGCTACTTGTTTCACGAGTTCTGATCGGAACTTTCGTAGCCATGTGGAAGCATAAAAATGATGCAACTGAACTTTTCTGATGATATTCACCTTTTATTGTTTTGAATCAATCGAAGTGAAGATGGTGTTTTCTTTTACGACACCTATTGACGTACCAAGTTGCATGTTTTTGAAGGCCCATGCCTATCATCACTTTTAGGCTTGTGAGCATGATATAGGTCACGAATCAAGAAAAAGATCCAAAAGAGTCTCCACGGCAAGGGACTGTACGGGAGGTGAGCAGCATATACCGGAGTCAGCACTCGAATGACCTTGAGAAAACAGAAAACACAACAAATTAAGTACTTTCAAATACTTGCAAGGAATTCAGCATAGTGATGCCGGTTAACCAGAAACTGAACCATTTTTCCGGAATGGTAAAGTTCAAGCTTTTGCCTAGCACTTTAGAGCCTAGCAAATATAATACTTTCCAACAAAGCCATGATCTTAGCTGTTACCCCAGGGCATTATCAATTTTCCACCCATGTAAACCATAAACAAAAGGAAGGAAAAGGGAGAGAGCGGGGCGAACGAGCAAAGAAAACAATTGAACAAAGTATTAACGGGTTCTTACCACACAAGCTGGAGCAAGAGGAACAAAAGTGAGATTTTTCTTGCTATCTTCGTTTGCATATTAACGTCTGAAAATGGCATTTTGTTAGTTTAAAGTTGATAATACATAAACAAGTTTAAGAAAGCTATTTTTCTTTTTTCTGTAAACAAACAGCTCATCAACAGAAAGAATAAAAAGCATGTCTAGAATGACAGTTGGGAGATAATCATCAAATGAAACATCAGTTAGAGAAGCACATACCTGCTTGCACAGATCTTCAAGAAATTCCGAGTATTCAATGGGCTTGATACCATTGAACTTGGCAAGGAATGAATGTTTATGATATCAATTAACATTTCACAGAAGAAAACCACGAACGCGTTCTGCAGAGTTCATAGACAAAATATGAGCAAGCTATACAAAGTCCTTTGAAGTATTTATGATAACAAAATATTCGAAGATACAGAGTGCCCTGAATTTTTATGTACTTACGAAAAGAAAACTTTC